GTCATTTTTGCTAAGTATTGTTCATCATCAATTCTCATTTGTAGGTGAGGAGTGGAACCACACAAAATCCCACTAACTGATCATGTTGTTGAACATTGACTCAACCAAACATCACTTCTGCTAAAGTGTGTATTTTTAAAAATATTATTAAAGAAAATCTTCAACAAACTACACATACTAAGAGTTTGATCCCTGGTAATGGGTTTCACTGTTATGCATTGCACATCGCATGATCAGGTCAAGGCCAACATGGCACTTGACAAGTACTAAACTTATGTGACAGTCACTTGTCACCCCCAGCAGTGTAAAGTCACATAGCGGAACAGGTCACCTGTGACATTTTGTTTATAGAAAATGGAGGGTCAAGGAGAAGAATCTAAGATTCACTTTATGAAACGAGCCATAGAGCTCAGCCGACATGCAGTAAAAGTTGGGGATGGGGCCCCCTTCGGATGTGTTATTGTCAAGGACAACCAGATTATAGGTAAGACAGAAGGCAGAGCAAAAAAGAAAAATATATATGAAGGTTTTCTTTAGTACGCTGTGTGGGGTATTACACGCTGTTCTCATTATGGTTGTATTATTGTACAGGATAGCCAGATTACAGGTAAGACAGAAGGCAGAGCAAAAAAGAAAAAAAATATATGAAGATTGTTAATACACTTTGTGGGGCATTACACACTGTTCTCCTTACCGTAGTATTATTGTCAAGAAAAGCCAGATAAAAGATATGACAAAGAGTGCAACAAAAATCTATGAATGACTGTGAGTTGGGTATCTTGCATAATCTTTGCAGAGTTCATACCTTGGGTATGCTAGGAATGGGACTTCTGTTCATGTCCTAAAGGTGTACTTAAAATTTCAGGGTAAAGTCAAACTGATCAGATTGCCCAACACCAATCCCAGCCATAATATAACCAAACATCATTTTTGCTGAGTATTTTTTATCATAGGGATGGAACCATACAGATTGCTGAACAGTGATTCTAGCCATAATACAACCAAACATCATTTTCGCTAAGTATTCCATTTCATTTTGTAGGTGAGGGTTGGAACCATACAAAATCCCAGTACGACCCTACAGCTCATGGTGAAATCGATGCCATACGTAACGCATGTCGTGCCATGAAGACTTTGTCACTAGAGGGCACTGAGATATACTGTAGTTGTGAGCCATGTCTTATGTGTGCAGCTGCGATACATATCATTGGGTACAGAAAATGTGCTTTTCCGATTTATACTTTGTTTTATTTCCTAACATCAAAAACAAAAAAATATTAATTTCTCCCAATGAAATATTTTACAAACTTTTGAAATTCTCACTTAAAGTTTTCCATGACATTCAATAACTACTATTAAATGAGAAGAGAAGTATCAAGCATAAAAACACGGGGGGGGAGGCAAATAAGTAAAAAGCCAAATATTAAAAAAGAAGCATTCATTTCCAAGAACTTTTGACTAAAATAAAACAACTTTAACCAAAAATAAAAGAAAAGAGGTACCAGTTATTTACTTTTTATTACTTGCTTTACATTTCAGAGCTTCAAAGGTTTACTACGCCGTATCCAAGAGTGTGGTCTACTCCATACTGGGTCAACCGCTAAAGACCATTGAGGAAGACCTGAAAAATCCTACTGACCAGCGCAAAATTCCTGCACAAAGCCTTCTATCAGGAGAAGCTCAGAAAGTTGTTGAAGAATGGCATCAAGGAAAACAATGAGAAATTGTGTGCATGCACACACACACATACACACATGTGCACGTGCGCATACACACACACTAACCATTTAATTTAGTTACTTGAAAAACCGCTACCTTTCTGTAGCTTTCTGTACTTACAGAATAAAGTAATAAGACTGAATGAATTTAGTCTGTGATCATTTATAAAGCCATGTTAAGGTGCAAGCACATCATACTTCTTAGGTTAGAGGGCTAGCAAATTCTCACAGATGTTCTCACTGAATATTATAATTTAGAACATTAGAACAATAGTATAATTTCCCAAAACAGATGACAGGAGATCAAACCAATGACCCAAATAGTCATTTAGGTCAATCAACAATTGTTTGTACAGTGATAATATCTGCCACACAGTCACTTCCCAGTCACTATTAACTTAGACGAGCAATGGTGATCACTTGTTCTGTAAACTTATAAAATGGCCACAGGAGAGGCCCTAAAGCTGCATTTCATGAGGAGGGCTATAGAACTCAGCAGAAGAGCAGCAGCCACTGGAGATGGCGAGGCTTTTGGAAGTGTCATTGTGAGAGACGACAAGATTATAGGTAGGGTGCAATGAATCATTACAATTATCTATTCAGCTTATTGTGTTACATGCATGTTGTTGGTTGTAGTTTCTGCATATCATCTTACATAAGAGAAAGAAAATGACTAATGCAAATATGGCAAGTAAAAATAAGCTGTCAACAAATACAGGAAAGAAAGTCGCTATGATGGGTGTTTTTTTGCTTGTGCTGTATTGGAATATTGCTGTAAGGGATCTATCATTGTGGGTTTGAGTATGAAAAATAAGCCCCTGATCAGTCAGGTGTACCCCCTTACCTACCATTGCCCCAATCACCACTAGTAAAAGAACGTGATTATTTATAATGAAGCTGACTATGCAATTTTAGCAGCCTAAGCTAACCACATGAAGCAGGCTTTGGTCCATGACACCTGGGCAAGAGCAGGACATGTGGGACTGAGGGCTATATATCCCAGCACACCTGGGGACCAGCAGACACACACCATCTCCTTGGGCTGCATTTGGCCAATTTCTACAAAAATATTTTCTAGCCCCCCTCCCCTTTTAACATTTTTATAGGTTACATTGAGATTATCAATAATGGGTTCTAAAATCCATGTCTATTTCTGGATGTTATTCTATTCATGCTTATTATTTTTGTACAAATCTTATTCCAGTGTTCAAACTAAACATCTTCCATCTCTTGCAGGAGAAGGCTGGAATCACATCAAAGTACGCCATGATCCCACTGCACATGGAGAAGTAGAGGCCATTCGTAACACGTGCTCGGCACTGAAGACGCTACATCTCACGGGAGCCGAGATCTACACGAACTGTGAGCCATGTATCATGTGTGCTGCTGTGATACAGTATGCTGGGTACGGCAAGTCAAAGGGGACATGTTCTTTGAAATATTAAAAATATTAACTTTTTGGGTTAAGCTAAGAACTGTCAAAATCAGACAGACAACCACAATAAGTAGACTCACTGTAAAAGATGATCATTGTCATTTTCATTTGTCAGGACAATTTCCATTCAGTGACTTTTTTCTTTTATATTTATTGTGTTTTCATGACAACATAAATGTTTAAAATGTGTTGATATTAGAAATGTGTCATTTTACAGAATAGTCAAAATTTACTATGGGACCACAACAGATGATATTTCTCCCCACTTTGAGGATGAAGTGGGATGTGTAGATGTGAAAGCCGTGGCAGACGACCTTAGAAAACCGACCAATCAGAGAAGGATCCCTGCAGAACAACTGCTGCCTGATGAAGCTATTAAAGTTTTTGATGAATTTCACCCAAAAAAGGCAAAATCTTAAGCAAACTTATATGCTTTGGCATGCATTTTTTTGACTCAGTGTAAATGAAATGGTAACAAAGCTTTAATGAAGCAATAAATAAATAAAATAGAAAATTTAAAAAAAAAATAAAAATTGCACTCACCTTCTCTGTCCTGTGCATAGTAAGGTTATGTTGCTCCTGGAGAAGAACGCAGAAGGCAGGTTCAAATTTTGGTGCTGGGATGTTGCCATTTTCAAACAGCACGGTTTCCTCTGGCTTATCAAGCACTGCAAAATAAATAAAAACATTAACATTGACTGGTATACTTTGACAATACATCTGTATCGTTACACTGTAAGATAATGACATTTTAACAGTCTGGTTATTTATTATTAAATGGAACCCCTGGGTTCAACAAAGCCAATTAATCAACTTCCACTCAAACAGTATCCAAAGAACTTGTAAAAGCAATCCCCCCCTCCCTGGTATCACACCTTAGGCCTTCTCACAGCATACCAGCGTGCCAATACCTGACATGAGCCTAGCCTAGCCTAGGTTTAAAAAAATGAACATTTATCACGGGACCCAACACCTAACCTTGACAAATCTCAGGATCCATCAGAATTAATTTTAAAACGCAAAATTCAGCTTTTCTGCAGAAAAAGCTCATGTCTGCAATACCAAATGCATTGGTTAAGTGTACTGCTCTATGTGGACAGGACCTCTTGATCCTCCCTACCTACCCCGCCCCCTCCGCGAGCTCCCACAAACCACTGCCAGCAAACTGGCCCAGGTTGTCCTGAACATCCCCGTCAGCAGGCTGCCTGAACAGGCCATAGGCAGAGAAAACAGGGACTAATCATCATAGAACATACCAAGTATGAAATAATAGCATGTGAGTCATGAGAAAGGGAGAAGTTTGGAGAGATAAAATGAAAGCGTTCCAGTTACTGAGCTTATTGTTTCCCTGATGGCACATTATATGGTGAATGACTCTTCTTGAGCATCTTTATGTAGAGGTGCCAACATGACCCAAGTCAAACTGTGTAGAAATAATCTCCAAGGCCTTATTAACAATAGAATAACACCTGTAAACAATGGGAATTTGTCTTAAATAATAGGTAAATTATGAGTAGTGTAGAACTGGCAACTCTGATTATATGTTTGACCAGAAAAAGTCATAGAGCATGGCATATGGAAGTGAACGGGGAAAATAACAATATCACGTTTTCAAACCAATTATTATCAGTGAGAAAAGAAAGGGTTCCAGTCCCCTGTTCAGAATGCACTCTGGGTGTGTGCAATATCTTAAAGTTAATCTAATGCTATTATTCTCTAAAGAGTTTCTAAGAAACAAATGGTATTCAACTTTTGAGTAATATTTTTTTACATTTTGAGACAAGAATATCATCAGATATCATCTTGTATTATGGTCAATGCATTGTGATGAATACAAGTGTGTGTGTGTGTGTGTGTGTGTGTGTGTGTGTGTGCAACCAATCTTTTTCTTTAACAGAATGTTAACCTTTGCCATCTAGCGCAGCATCTTTGCTACAGGTTTCACTTTTTTATTTTCTTGTAAATCAAGAAATTGGTTGTTTTTAAAACACCTTTAAAGAAATCAATAAAATTAACACAACGTCCAACTCATGCATTTTTCATGCGGCCGCTTTACCACCACTTTATTCCACGTAAATTTCATATGCTCTGTTAATTTGGAAGGATACTTCAGAAATTACTTCCGAAGTGAAATTGACCACAAATTAACCAATCTGATTATTGCAAGACCTACGTAGCCTTCCCTCTGTGAAACAAATCAATAATCCTAGTCATGTTTAACTGCCCACGATCCCTGCCGCTTATCTAATGAGAAAGTGTATCTCGAAACAAAAGCTAATAAACTTGACTCGGGCTCGACTTCTTTTCCTCGTAGGTCATGTCCAAACGAACGCTGACAAGTATGAACTGATTATTAATCCAGTTACCATTCATATTTCCCTGGTGTGTTGGCTTTAAGGCCTTTCAGCATCATTAGATACAGCTATTAATGCTAACATGGATGTTTAAGTATAAGCATGGACTCTCTGATGATGAACATTCGTTCATGGATCATTGCTTTATGGCATATGGATCTACTCCCTTCTTAAATTATATGAGGGAAAAATGACATTTTACTTTTAAAAGACAAAAGACAATTTAGATACCAATTTGTGGAAATAATCATTGACATGTGGTAAATACATTCAATAATTTAAATGAAAACAAAAATAATTCAATGTATGGGCAAATGTGGTGCTTTCAATCATGCCTCACTTTTTCAAGATAGGCTCACATAACCACAGATTAAGTGTTTGAGTTACCATATGCATGAATTTCTAATTGCAATATCTTGTTAATTTATATGAAAGCTCTTGGTCTGACACAGTTCTGTAGACCCCACTGCCAAGAATGATTACCTCTCATTTCACGGCTCATCTTGTCACCTGGTACGCCTCATTTCACAGATTTACTCTTACAAGAGAGATGAGAAGCTTATTAGCACACAATGGGGCTCATGTATCCTTCTTCAAACCAACTACCTCCTAGTACGATGATGGCTTTATCTTTGGTCTATAGATTCAGGGCACGGGTATCATAATGAGTGTCAGTTGTCTGTGTTGGAATGCAAAAACTCATGGTTGTTGATATCTTATTTTGATTTACAAACTCTCCCATTTCTCCTGATATAAATCCTTCCAACTATTCACTGGTTTTGGACAATAGAAGACACTCAATGAAAAAAAATACCCTGCTTTAATTTTTCATAAGAAATTTACATTAAAAAAAACAGGTATTTAAATTTCAAGTTACAATGATTATATGCATGATGATGTTATAATTAGCACAGCAGATGCTGACACTATCTTCAAGGGCTTTTAGTCTATTTAAAATATTCATGGTTGTGGACGTTCATATTAGACATAAATACATGTAAGGCACCATATCAATATTCATCTTTCTTTTTTTTTTTGCTTTTCATTGCATTTTTTGTACTGCATGGAAAAAGGCATGTATTACAAATGTGAGTTGATTCATGAGCTCTTAAAAAAAGACTGTTCTGGGAAATTTTTAAGTTGGCCTCCTTACATGACACGTTAAGTATTCCCTAACATTACTCCAGTGCTCTGTATTCGATGTATTTGCTCAACAAAACTACCAACAGAAATTTGCAGCAACTCTACTCAAATTAGAACAACACACAGGTGAAGCTGGCAATTTACCATCTGACTCTTCTCTTTTCTAATGTCACAACTGTTACGTGACACTTCGAGGCTGTCACTGATGACTTTTTATTACCTAGGTTAATTGCTTATTTCATGCTTTAAGAGTGAATACCATCAGTTACAATATAAAATTATCAAGGAACTCCAGGCGACACACATTTGAGCATAAACAAGGCTGCCTAATCATAATATGAGCCCCAACTTGTTATAAAGAGTCCCCATGGAATTGGTGGACACTAGCTAGTGCGATTCAAACACCTTTAAGATGGCTGTACTCTGCCCTTAAAACATAAACACAAAGATTATCAACTCATGTAGAACTTTGTTACGTTCCATTACTTATTGAAAAAGTTCCAGGATGCCCAGGTCTGAAATGTGAGATGGCTGTACTTTGGCACTGACATCCACATAGGTAATGAGGAAATACTGTTATCACTGGGATATAACAGAATGCATTTCACCTGTGCCTTCCTCAGGGAAACAAAAAAAAAAAAAAAAAAAAAAAACACACACACACACACACACACACACACACACACACAGAACGAAAGAGTCATGACTCATTTTCACAATGGCTCTTTATAATTTGGTTTCACAAGCTTTCGTTTCTTTTCATAGCCAAATAATTCAATGCAAGTTTGCAAGATAGTTTGCTAGTTACCAATCAGAGCTTTAACTGACTTCGTATTATGTTGAGAAACCTACATAGAAGATCAGCATATAATCATTTCTCCAAAATCTAACATTTAGTCGACACCTCAAGAAACAGTTTCACCAAGGTTACAAAGGGGTGGTCATAAATACATCCTCCATCAAGGTGGTATCATTAATAACACTATTATTTCATATTCGGAGCTAATCAAGTTTGGCATGCCATGACCATTGTACTGGCAACATTAATTCTGCACTTTGATGTACTGACTGCTTCAGGCAAGAGATTTTTTTTGTCATAACAAAACGTATAATTAACTGCACCTTGCACTTGGTTAGATTCACATCAGGAATGTGCCTCAAACTACACCTGTTAAGTGCAGTTCAGATCAGTTTGACCAAAAACTGATATTTAGGAACATTATGTCCCTTTCATCATTTTGTACATATGGTGTTCCTTTTGCACCTAAATTAACCCTATAAGTAAAATTTCATTTTATTGTCTTTATCTTTTTTTCTATTTATCAGTCTTGAGAGAAACTGATGCTGAAATGAAAAGAAGAAGCAACTGTGCCTAAACACCATCAGTAAAACAATCTTACTTTAAGACACAGTTCTATGTTCTACCCACAAATTGATCATGTTTCAGTTCAGTGGGTTGTGTCAGTACCCACTTCATGTTGTGCCATATATCATATAGCTTACAGTGGTGACAGGTCCTCTGAGTGGGGTGACACCCCTCCAGGTGTTAATACATCTAAATGTCCATTAAGTAGGACTATCTGTTACTGCCCTGTGGAGCTTATACAACATTGATAACCCACCATCATATCATTATCATACATAAATCAACCCCCCCCCCAAAAAAAAAAAATATATATATTCAATGCCTCAAAATAATGATTTTATTACAGAATATAGTACATTTTAATCTAACATTGGTTTAAAAAAGTTAAGTTTAGGACAAAATGTTGTTTCCTGTGACACCTGTAGTTTGGGCGCATTCAGGACCCGTTGATCTATGGACTAACTAGTCTGTGAATCAAATATGGCACACACTTGACTATGGATTCCCCCTTCCCACATGCACCGTTCAAGGGACTGGAAGCAAGACTCGCTTATAAATTTTCCTTCGAGTCTGCATCCTG